ATATAATCAGATATTTTATTTCGTTCCACCTTTCAGATAGAACTCGTTTATTTTTTTCTTTCAGGAAGTAGAAAATAATGAAATTCTGCGTCTGGAAACGCCCAACGCTTATTCTCGTTTAATATTGTTTTAATACATCGGAGCTGGGAATGCAAATTAAGAAGAAAGCTTTTGAAATAATAGTCTCCCGCTTTAATAAGAGCTGAAAAATAATGAAAGAAGAAGAATAAGGTAGGAAACGGCAAAGATATTTTTTAATTAAAAAAAAACAGACATAAGAAGCGAATATCCATTATCGGCTGAGCATTACCGAAGTTACGGACTCCTCCACGGTTTTTAAGTTATTAAACTCGGTGGTAATTGGAGTGATCGTAAAGAAACTGAAGCGGCGTTATCTTTAATGGTTTGTTAATATGGCGAGGCGTCTGGTGTACACGTGAAAACTGCTGTTGGAAAGGACGAAAAGCTTCGGAACAAACTACAAACAAACTGTACGAAGAAACAGGAGAAACCAAAAAAAAATAATGGAAGGAGGAAAAGAAAGGTAGGTAAAGAGTGTATCTAAGATACGCACTTGAATTTATTAGGCTTAACAAAAACCAGTCCTGCGTCCATTTGCGGCAAAAAGTCATGACACAAACCATGCGTTACTTGATTACGAGATTACAAGGCGGAACCATGGAGAGAAAGAGATGAGAGAGGATATATATACATATATATATATATATGTATCCAATAGTGACTGGTAACAAGAAAATAAGTATGAAGAGAAGAAATATATATATATGTATATATAAAAAGCAGTTGAGAAACCGAAAGTGAAATTATTTTTATTGGTTGATAAAGTTGATCAGTAAATCAACCACTAACCTTTGGTCGTGGATGAAAGAGACCCGGCGACTGTCAGTTCGGCGGCGTAATCCAAAATAAATAAAAACAGACATGAAGAGGAGCGCATACAAGAAATGCAATGTGTTTTTTTTGTTTGTTTTCTTTTTGCAGAGGAGAACCACCCAGGGCGACGATACCGTTGCTAGCGTCAACAATCAACACGCACAGGTTCCCCCTATGAACCTTCTCCAAATTACTTTATTCGTCCATGATTGATGGAAGGGACGTTATGATTCTCCTCCTCTCAATTTCATTGTTTTTGTTTCTTGCTGTTTGTTTGTTAAATCGTTGCATTTAGTTTCGGAATTGTTTGTAACGCGAAGCGCGAACGGCCACGTCCGAATATCGAGGAGGACTGAAACTTCTTCTTGCGAGAGGCCTCATCGAGACCAACAGGTGTCGGCCATGTTTGCGCGAGGAAAGGGTAGTCTGACTACTTTAACCCGAGCCCAGTTTGCTATTGAAAAACTTCTCCAAGAGAATAATAAGGAGAAGAGATTCGCCGACTTGCAGAGTTCGATTTTCATAATTGCTCAAACTTCTTTCACTAAACTAATAATAATTAATACATAATGTATTGTGTATACAATATCCTTAATGATGTAATTTTCTTATAAGTATTTTCAAGTCATCAATATAATCATATTAATTTTGAGAACTAAATTTATAATAGACTTTCCACAATATGTAAAATTTTATACATATTTATTATAGAATAACTTACAACGTAAAAAATGTATTTATGTTCGATAATAATCTAATTTTATTTTATTGACAGTACCTAGTAAAGGGTTAGTAGGTTTCTTGGGATACAATTGTAACCCACTTTTATTACTTACCTACAGTAATTTTAGGTAAGGAGAAGCAGACTGTTTTATTTCTAATATAGTTACTTAACATACTTTATAAATGTATTAAGTAAAAAATGTCGATAATAATCTTATTTACAGTACTTAGTAAAGAGTTAGTAGGTAAGAGGTTTCTAAGGATACAATTCCCACCTTAATTACTTACCTACAGTACATAATTTTGGGTAAGGAGAAGCAGAATCTTTTATTTCTAATATAGTTACTTGACATACTTTATAAATGTATTAAGAAAGGCAAAAATAAAGAAACAAACATAATGTATTCAAGAGTATTTTTTAACATATTTATTCAACCCTTTATTACATTGGAAATCTCCTAAGATATATTTGTATCCCATTTTTAATTACATGATTATAATACAAAATTTTAGCTATTAAGAAACAGAATGTTTTTTTTTTAAATGCATGTTACGTTCTTTCTTTATAAGTGTATTAAAAATTACAAAAATAAAGAAAAAGAACAATGTAGAAGAGTATTTTTTTAAATATGTATTTAACCCTTCATTACATAGGAGATCTCCTATGATTCATTTGTATCCCAATTTAATTACTTGCTCATAGTACACAATTTTAGGTAATAAAGATCAAAATGTTTTCTTATGTCTTTGCTTACTTTATAATTGTATTAAGAAAGGCAACATATATTATTGTTGAAAACATAATGTAAAATGGTATAAAGTGTCTTTGTTGTTTACCTAATACAAATAATTTCCATTTTCTCTTTGTGCTTTCTGCAGACGCACTCATTATATACTGTACAAAAGTTTCTTGAGCACTTCCAATAACCATGGGATACATTTGTATCCCGTGCGTGTATTCAAGGTTTAATAATCTTTAATATCATAATATTAGTTTTATAATTAATGAAATTATTTTTACTACTTTTGATCTGTAAATCTGGAAATGATGACAACTTTTTCGAAGGTTTCCAGTTTTTATTTTTCTTTCTGGAACAATATTTTTTTACTCGAATTAGAAGATTCATCGATGATGAGATTAAAACTATATTTTATTCTTTCTTGTTTTTGGAATCGATTCAATATGTAGACTCCACTAAGACAGCGAACACATTATAAACGAAAATTATATGGAGTCTGGTACCTAATACAAATCAGAATGTTTTTTATGTCTTTGCTTACTTTATAATTGTATTAAGATAGGCAACATATATTATTGTTGAAAACTTAATGTAAAATGGTATATACAAGTGTTTTTGTTGTTTACCTAATACAAATAATTTCCATTTTCTCTTTGTGCTTTCTGCAGACGCGCTTATTATATATTGTACAAAAGTTTCTTGAGCACTTCCAATAACCATGGGATACATTTGTATCCCGTGCGTGTATTCTAGGTTTAATAATCTTTAATATCATAATATTAGTTTTATAATTAATAAAATTATTTTTACAACTTTTGATCTGTAAATCTTGAAATGATGACAACTTTTTCGAAGGTTTCCAGTTTTTATTTTTCTTTCTGGAACAATATTTTACTAACTCGAATTAGAGGATTCTTCGATGCCGAGATTAAAACTACATTTTATTCTTTGTTCTCACCAAACACATTATAAACAAAAATTATATGGAGTCTGGTACATGAGAGCAATCGCACTTTTAGGAATTCTGGAATATGCTTGTATATCTAAAGGGTTCATATTATTTAATATGATTATACTACTTTTTTTAAAGCTTATTCATTTTTAGAACTTTTGAATCAAAAATACGGACAATTGGAAACAAATTTATACAAGTTATTTTTTTACAGTTTTCTAATCATTTATGTAATTGATTTCATATTTAATATAGAAGAACTGTTCGACCTACAAAAAATAAAATAAAAATTTATCTTTTTTTTGCAGTTTTGTCTGTATTTATTTACGTAAGTCCAGAAGTGACTGTTTTCAATAATAATCTGCCATTTACTAATATGAATTTAAAAACATTTATATGATCTTAAAACATGTCGAGAAGTGATTGTATTAAAAAATGATTGAATCATTTTTAGCTTCCAATTTTATCATTCATTCATAAGACATAGTTGGAATTAAATTGCGCAAATTCACAAATAGACTTTTCACAATTTGTATAATTGACTACATATTTAATGTACATACAATTCTACGAATAATAATCTCTTTTCCTAATTTGTATTCTAAAGATATAACTTTTAATAATTATAAAAAATATACCACATTTGTAGTTTATGATCTAATAGTCTGTACACTAATACTTCACATAGTGCGGGTAACCGGACTAATTGAGTACCTAATAAAACCACACAAAAACTTCACTATATACAAAAAAAACAATCGTGTCTTTGTGTACTCATTTGTTTTTGGCCCATTTAGGACCAAATTGATATCGACTTTAGAGTTTATTTTTATTTTGCTAAATTAAAGTTGCATTTGATTTCCATAAATTAAAAATACGGAACGATAAAGAAACTTTGAACATTTTAAATTGAAAAATATTTAATTTATATTAATTTTTAATTTTTAGACACGCTTTAATATATTTAATTTACAAAAAATAACACATTCAAAATATAGGTCATATATTCTCAAATTTTGTAATAATTATTTTATAAACATTAACAACCATAATTTATTGCATATAAGTTACAAACATACATAAAATTTTGTAAAAAATAAAAGATTTTTAAAATTTATCTCAATATGTATTTAAGATTACATTCAACTTATTAATTATATTATTAACAAATTGCATAAGTTTATAAAACTGCAAACAAACCTTGATATAAATATAGAAATGGAGTATAATTTATATTTTATTTACTAAATGTTCCAAATTTTAAACACTAAATATCTAAATGATGATAACTTTTTCCAAGGTTATACAAATATTGTTGCAATTACGCATATTTACTTTAATAATTAAATTATATACAATTTTTTAGGACTTAATTATATATATTTTTATTTGTATTAGTGTCCAGCACATAGTAAACGTACAAGTTAATCATCTTTAATTACTTTTATGTTTACCATATTTGATTAATTCGAACATTAAATCGTTGCGTGATAATTAATGCATATTTATTTGCAAACAGTGTAAAATTACGTAATTTGACATAAATCGACTTTCAGATTTTGTACATAAATGTATTTATACAAAAAACAACATTTATTCTGTAATAACCTTGCGTTTCAAGATTACGTTTACAGAAAATTACGAAACTTTTGCGATAAGATACACGGACCGCTGTTATAAATGCAACGAGAAGTCCAGTCGAAAGGTTAGTCACTATAATCCGTCGTCTGAGGAGTATCTCGTCTCTAGAATCAATAGTGAACAAAACTAGAAGCCATGGATTTAACTCCTTTTAATCTAACTAATACGATCCTTTTGGGCGCGGGGCCGATCAATTGTTCGGAGCGCGTCTTAAGGGCTTTGTCCATGCAAACCATGGGACCCGTAGACAAGGCAGCAATCGAGGTAAAATGGTTTCGTGCGCTTAGCAGATTCGCTTAGTTATGAGTTTGCAATGTGTTTAGCTGATGGATGAAACGAAGGAGATGCTGAAGAAGGTTTTCCACACGACGAACCGTTTAACCTTTCCGCAACAAACGTCCGGTTCCGGAGGTTTGGAGACTGTTGTTTCGAACATCCTCGAACCGGGAGATAAATTGATAGTCGCCATCGGCGGTGTCTGGGGAGAAAGAACAGCAGACATCGCTGAAATCTACAGTAAGTATAAAAATAATACATTGATTTATCAAGTCTGTCAAAAATGACAATGTCATTTGTCAATCAAAATATTGTCATTTTTCACAGGTTTGATAAGTTTATGTTAATTTTTTGACATTTATCTGTAGCTACAAAACGATTAGCTTTCTAGTATTTTTTTCAGTATAGACAAAATTTAAGACTAAGGAAATTCAATACTATTGTTAAAGAATTGATTAAATATTATCAAAATTTTTATAGCTTAATAACAATCAATTATCAAGGATGTAGAGAAATAAGAACAAATTAGAAATTGAAATTAAAAAAAATATTAATAGAAAAATCGCATAAAAAATGCAACAAATCAAAAAATTAATTAATCATTAATTAAACTTCAATTAATAAAAATTAGTAATTGTTATTACTTTTTTATAGCAAAATGTCTTCTGTACAAAAAAAATTAAGATAATTTGCAAATTTACATTTTTTGAATTTTTCAAATACTATTAAAATTTCAATATAGATTGTTAATAGAAAAATCACATTCAAAACCATTATTCGTATATTGCGAATCCCGGATTAATCGAGGAAGTAAAGATATTTATAATAACAAAAAAACTTATCACTTATGTAGAAAAAAAATTGAACATATCCTCCTTTATAATTTTGTTTGTTTTGAACTAACCGGACTATTGTGAATCCGGATCGATCGAAGCCGGACTATGTGAAGTATTGCTAATATGATAATACTGAAAGCATTCTGGATAAATGAAATAACTTTATGAAGTTCAAGAAATAAAACCCTAAGAAAATTATGAACAAAAATTTAAAAAAAAATTCTTATTTGGATTATTTTCAATGTAATTCGAGATTTGTCTTTAATTATCTTAATTTTGTATGTGAAACTTATTTAAAAAAAGAATTTATTAATATTTGGTATGATTTTTATTCTTAATTTCTTTAATCTCTTTAATAGAAATATCCTGATTTTATGAATGTCATAAAGATTAAATTTATAACATAATTTTACAACTTCTTTCTTGGAACCGGTGGTAATTGCAAGACCGAAAACCGAAATAACGTCAATAAAATTTCCCGACAACCGAAATCCCCACGTTTGAAATCCCGACAACCATAATCTCGACTGTAACAAAATCCCGACTATATCAAAAATGTCTACAATAACATTTTTAAGTTATTCGGGAGCGTAATCACTTATTCATAATGGATAAGGTTTATTATGAATAATTCAAAAAATCAAATGAATATTTTTTTGTTATTAAAAATAAAAATATAGCACAAGGTGACTACGCTCCAAAATAATTTAAAAACGTTATTGTAGAAATTTTCGATATAGTCGAGTTTTTATACAGTCGGGATTTTGATATAGTCGGGATTATGGTTGTCGATATTTTGATAAAGTCGGGAATTCGATAGACGGTATTTTTGTTGTCGAGCTTGCGATATAGACCCTCTTCGAACATATAGAATCACAAAGTAAATATAAATTTGCTCACTACTTTTATATGAATGTTGATTTAAAAAGAAAATATGAAAATTTGTAGAATGTTTTTCTTTCTGTGGAAAATAAATAACTTTGGTAACCTTTGACGCATATTAAATAAATCAAAGAATTATAGGAAAGAATACAACTTTTGCAAGGAAGTGAAGTATCGACCTGATGATTCCGGCAGGCTCTTCCCGAGTGCTTTATTGTCTTCGTTTTCGAGACTCGGATGCAACCTCGAGATGGATGGAAGGAGTTAATTAAATTTAATGTTTGATTTCATTAAGGACGCGGCGGGGTTGATTATTAAAAAAGTTTCATCACGTTGCCGCCGCCGCCACTACAAACAGAAGAAAACAAACACCAAACAAAACAGGATCAAAAAAAAAATGCGAAAGCCAAGTATAAATCTGGAGGTGTTTATTTATGATACCCGGAGCCGGGCAGGAAATGAAATTTCTTTCGGGCCAAATATAAAAAGGAAAATACTCGTTTCCCCCTTTACTCACGTTCTTTTCCTCTACTTTTTCACTCGCGTTCTTAATGAAATTAATGCCCTCGTCCTTCTGGGCGAAATTCATTTAACTTATTTGTACTTGCGTGCACACCGAAACTTCGGTATTCCTCGTTGTAATTTGAATATAGCCTTATACAAATCCCGTATGGCAAATTAATTAGTGCACTTGATTTTTTTTTTATTATTCATTTGATGAGGATAACTTTTCGCGTGCACAAAGGATATGCACACTTGACGAAACTTTCATATTGCATGATTCACCAATATTAGCTTTTTCTTTATGTTGATAGTCCATTTTATCCGTACAAATTCGGATAATTAAAACGGATTTCGTTAATATAAAGGATTTGGAAATGTCCAGTTTGTTTGCGTTCCCTTAGTTGATTTAGGATGCATTGGGTAAAGCCCAATTTGTGCCGATAAGCAGAGCGTTTCGGATTGTCGTCCAACTGAATCCGTGCCCGAATACAAAAGCAGCGTATAAAAATGGATGAACTAAGTGAGACTGAATAAATTTTTCGGCGAGCGCAGATTTGAACTCGATCCGGCAAAGTTTTTAAATTAAAGTTTGATTTCGATGTAGCGAGGACGAAGTTACTGGGTCGTCCATATGGAAGTCGAGATTTACCGTCGCCGATATTCGAATGAGATTGGTTACTAATATATAATGTGTTTCGAACTTTCAAATCGAAATTGTTTAATTGGCTTCGTCCTTTCTCCGTTCCGTCCAGGACGAATTTCCAATTGCTTCACGCAAAAAACATCCGTTCTTGATAATTGGCAAAGCGGATTTAAAAAAAACAATGGTTACGCTTTTTTTTTTGGTTTCAGATGTAGTATGAAATTAATGGTTGTTAATTACCGTGAAGAAATTGTATGTGATTAAAGATGTTTTTTTTTTGTTTCTTTACTTTTCAGAGGCAGAGGTCGTGAGGTTAAGGAAGGAGACGGGTGAAGTGTATAGTCTGGACGAGTTGGAGAAAGAAATAGCCAAGCACCGCCCGAAATTGTTGTTTATTACGCACGGAGAGTCTTCGACCGGAGTTTTACAACCTTTGGAAGGTCTGGCCGATATCTGTCACAAGTGAGATTCATTACATTTTTATTGTATTTTCGATCTATAAAAACGCACATTTGATCTTAACAAATTATTTTATCTTAAGTTAAACGATTTTCCAATTAAATACATGTTTAATTTTAATTAATTCTAATCTATAAAACCGGTTTCTAACATAAGGTGTTTAATCTACAAGATAAACGCGTGTAAAAAAAACATTGAAAACGTATTTTGAAAATTAACCAAAAACCGACAAAACCTAATACACAAAAAATATACATTTGAACTCATAACTTTTTAGGTAAATTTTAGATGAAATTTACTGTGTTTTTAAGTAGATTTAAAAGTTTCTAAATTTAAAAACCGGTTTTCAAATTTTACAAATTTATGGAAATAAATCAGTTTTCAAAAGCCTTATCGGCTACATATACAATATCTGGGGTAATTATGATCAAACGGGTTTTGTTAAAAAAACAACGAGATTTAGAAACCAACAAACCCTACATATTTTAATAAGACCAATAATTGAAGCTTCAATATTATTTGTTGTCTAAGAAGGAACCAATGAGTATATTGTTATTACAATTTCAGGTACAATTGCTTATTAGCTGTCGATGCTATCATTACATTATGTAGTGACCCATTGTACGTGGATCATTGGAAATTGGACATTGTTGTTGGTGGAACCCAAAAAGCAGTCGGTGCACCGCCAGGATTCGCACTGTTAACCTTCAGTCCAAGAGCCGAGTAAGTTCTCACCCTTTGTTATTATTGTTTCTAAACAAGTTGTTGTTTGCTGCACCTCGCGAGAAGATTTGTTTCTATCTTCCATTAAGTAACTGCAGTCTCCTCTCCACCGCTCTCCACTCCACCCACTGCATGCTCACCCACTTTATCGCATAATAATCTCGCTTAATATGCTACATAATTTATTGCCATAGTTACGAGGAAACTAGTTGGAAACTTGCTGCATAACATAATTTTCTACAACTGTTCACACAATAATATTTTCTCATGGTGCGACGAGAGCCAAAGGCGGGAGATTATGTAATCGGCGTTTTCGAGACCGAAAAACAATACTTTTTCATTTTACTCTTTAATCTTTTATTACTTTTAATGATGCAATAAATATTCAAATTTATTTTTCAAAAATGAAATACAAATAAAAATTAATAACTTTTTGTATTTTTTTATTAATTGGAATCCAATTATAAAAATGTTATATAAATACTATTATAAACCAATTCAATACATTTTTAATAATTTATTAATTTTAGGAAAGTTATTTTGGAAAGGAAAACCCCAGTACCGTTTTATTTCAACGTCAAAGGAATTGCTAATTATTGGAACTGTTTGGATGGACAAAGACAGTAAGTAATAAATGTATTATTATTTCTAAATAAGTTAACATAAATTAAATTTTAAAAGTACCCAATTATAATTAATCAATATATAATTACAAAAATCTTATGTAAAAGAAAAAAAAACAGTTATAAATATACCGATTTTCTCAACCATTTTTTCTCGCGATATTGGTTTATAGTTGTAGAGTGACCCAATTGCTAAGAGTATTTTCTCACTTTGACACAAGGTGACAGCTGTCATTTCGTGACCCATTAAAAATTTAACCATATCCAATTTCGGGTCTCATCCGATTGGTTGAGGAACGCTGTTTTAAATATGATAATTAGCAAACCGTTAGTACCTATTAACCCTTTGCGAAAGGGTCAATTTGACATACGCTGTCAAATACGAAAACAGCTATGTAGTACAACGCATTGATCAAAGCTAACATTTTTATAAATGATTTTGCAAATGATTATTGGCGGATATGATGTATAACTAATTAATATTATTTGCAAATAAAGAAATAAATGAAAATGAATATATTTCAGTTATTATTATACGTATTCTACGAATATGATTGCTGCGCTGAGGGAGGCTTTGGCTGAAAAACTGGAGGAAGGAATGGAGAATGTGTGGAATCGTCACAGAACTGTATCGACGCATCTTTGGAAAAGAATGGAATCTATCGGTTTGAAGTTGTTTATTCAGAAGGAGAAAAACAGGTTGCACAGCATCAACACCTACGTTCTACCCGATGGCATTGAATGGACGGTCCTCCTGGATCACGTCTACGAAAAGTAATAAACAATAATTCGGAGATTTATCCTGATCTAATTGAAATATAATTGCAAATTTCAGATACAACATCAGCTTGAGTTTCGGTATAGGACCAACGGCGAATCGTGCTATCCGCGTCGGTCTCATGGGAGTCAATTCCCGGATGGCAATGGTCGATCACATCGTTAAAGTTCTCGAGGAAAGCATAGCCCATTGCCGCTCGAACGGTCGAGGCAACGTCAAGAATCAGTAATTGATCACAAAGTTGTTAGTTTTTCCATCCCCAACGGAAAGCAAATTACTTTAGTTCTTATCCAGTTAGAATATTCCTGTGGTAATTGTCATCTTCCTGGAAAGAATAAATCATCTTTCGTTGTTTTAATTATCGTGTTTGGTTTGTCTCCATTTCCTTCGTTTTTAGGTGTGAAAGGATTAAGCGGAACCGACGTTATTACGTTAATAAAATTTAATGCGACGGTCACATGAGACGAGAGGCCATATTTCAGCATTCCAATCCCATTTTCAGCTTCTTTGTTGTTAGTTTTATTTTCGCTGGATGTGTATACTTTTTTTTTAGTTTGTTTGTTAACTAGGGGAGGCTTCGAACAAAGGCGCGCAGAAAATAATACGTTTTTCCTCCGTTCAAATTGGCAATTTTCCACTTAGCGTTGGTAATTCGGTCCCCTTGATGGTAGGTATTTGTCGACGCTGAATGCAGTTCCTCTGCAGTCCTCGCCGTACGAGAGAAAGGAGGATGGGGGCGCGTCTCGTCTCCCCCTTTGCTGCACACTAAAGCCCTTGGAAAATTAGCAGGACATGGACGTAAGCAAGCAATTCACGACGGTGAAACAATGGGCATCAATCATCAAATAGGCCCTTGCGCTGTGCACATACTCTTTTGTCCGCTCGCAGCTTTGTAAACAGGAGGGAAAAGAATCCGTCGCACTTGTGACCCTTCCTCCTCCTTCTTCCTTTTGCAAAAACCCTTCGCGAATTCACACTTTGATCTATGGGATTTTGCTTACTGCATACTACTATCTCAATCTTCTTAACTTATTGCTTTCACTTTGATGTCATTTTCCTCAACCCATTGATTGATTCACTTTCATTTCATCCCTTCTTTCAGTGAACAACTCTTCCCATATCAGATCTTTTATTTTTTACAGTTTTTTCAATAATATTCTATTTATAAGTTCTCAAAAATACTAAACTAATAAAGATTCTTTAATTCTGAAGATTAGCACGAAAACTGCAAATATTTTATATTAACATTAGAATATGTCTTTTTATTTTTACCTATTTATAATGATAATGACATAAGTTAATTAAAACGTCGGGTATAAAATTAAAGACATAATTATGGTATTACAATTTTCAATAAGCTTATTTGTGATATTTAGTGTTAAATTTGTCAAACTTGGGAAGTATTAACTTGAAGTTTTAGATCACTAATTACTTACTTAAATAAAGTCATCTTTTGCTACATACTTTTATAAGTTATATTAATTAATAATCGAATCATAGAGATTTTTTTTTTCAATCATTTAAAAAATATTTAGAGCTTTTTGGAAAGCCTATGATGTTTCAATTTTTATTTTTCAGTTAACTTGAAAATGTTATAGTTTTTATAGAATTTATAATTCTTTGGTCCCTGAATATAATATAAATAAATTATTGTTGAATAATGGGGTAAAGTGTTTAAATTAATTATAGTAAAATAAAGTTATCTTACGTTAATTTTACTTAAGTCTTAACATAAATTAAGTCAACTCAAGTTGAATTTACTTAAATTTAATTATTAATTTTCACAAAGTAGATTACTAAAAATCGGTGTAAATAAAATTGAATAAATAAAAATTAGTAATTTAGTCTTTTCTTTTATGTCGTATAATTTTATTCACATCCTGTTCATCAATGTTAACATTGACTAAATTTAAGATCGCATTCAATGGATAATCTTTCCCGGTTCCATAAGAATCGCAAATGGTTAGGGCGAGAAATTAATGGAGATAAACAGCCAACAATGTTATGTCCTCACTTGTGGAACCTATTATACCACAGAGAGAAATCGACTATTGAATGAACACGGATAATATTTGGATTGCGTGGATTTGAGATGGTCATTTCTTAAAAAAAATAAGTGCGTATGTGAAAATTTTTCAATTCTTGATGAATGGTATGAAGAATTAAATGGAAATTTAAGTTAGCCATAATAATGAGCAAATTACATATCATGTTTAGACATTACAAAGAGTTTGTTGAGGATGCCGTAAATTTCTTGCAAAATTTTAAAAATAATTTGTAGAAAATTGTATTATATACAAAAAATTTAATTAAGACGTATCATATGTATTATTTTAACTATATATAAAAAATAAAAATATTTACTTAAATTTTTGATTTCTTCTTGCTAATATTATAAAATAAATAAAAACAAAATGGAACAAATTTTATTTTATTTTTATAAGAAAAATCAGTTTTTTTTTTATAATTTATATTCTGTATTTAGTGAAAATAATACGGGTTGAAAATTTCAAAACAAGATTGTTCAGAAAAATTAAAAAAAATATTTTCAATATTTTTTAGGCAGAAAACAACCCTTCTGTACAATTTTACTATAAAAGCTTCATCTTGTTACAAACAAATCATCAGCATCAATACAACTTTAATACAGATATACAGAAGTCTTAAAACTACAGAATATGGCAATCCTTCAAAATATGTTTTCATGCTTACATTCTGTGAACAATGACACAAAACTGCAGTTCGGTTGAATCTGTCCAAAAAACGCATTGACGTTGAATACAAGAGAAAAATGTTCATCACAAACGGAAAAACATTCCGCGGATTCGAGTTCTGCATGGGGGCGATCAGATTGTTGAGGGTTTGGTTGAAAGACAAAGTAAAACTCGAAAACTCTTATTGGGAATTCGTCAAGAGGAAGCTGGACAACCTTATTAGAGGAATACTTGCATTTAGTTGAAGTGCAGATTGGGGAGGATCTCAATAAATTATATGACTACACGAAGACATTGGATACCTGGACTGAACGATTGAATTACTTTATAAAAAATATTAAGGAATTTGTGAGAGCATTGACATGCGAGGTGTATAGTATTAAGGAGGAAATTGAAATTCAAGATTTCTTTGATCAGATGAACGCGAACCAAGGAATGTCCGTGGGTTTCGTGGATAAATTTGACGAATATTTTCAGGATGTGGATGAGTGCATTAGTACGTACATCTATAGCTGTTGTCCAAAGTTATATAGAAAAATAGTAGAAATCAACATACACGTTTTTGTTGTATGTAATTTATTTAAAATTACTTGTATATTTGTAAATTATTGTTTATGTACATAACAATATTTAAAATTTAGGATTACATTTTTCAGTACTATGAAATAATACTTAAAACACTTAATTTGATAATGTTTCAAACTATTATTTAATAGTACTGTAACACGATAGCGCTCGTGTACATAAAAAACAAATCTTCAGCCGGCTAGGGCGTGAGTCCGTGACGTGGGAAGGTTCAGGGCGCCACTTCCTTTTCCTGAGAGGAACAACTCTTACAACTGCTTTCTCAGATCAGCACATTGGTTTTCACAAAAAACTTGAATTTTCCAAACAACGTTTTCTGATTATCCTTCTTCTTAATTGAAGTCTTCTGTTTAACGTCTTCATCCATCGGATTATAATTTTTCCGCTTTTTGCTTTTCTCTTTCTTCGCCTTCTTTTCTTTCATGACCTTATAAGTTTTCTCCTTTTTCAACTTCTCTTTCTTCTTGACCGTATATTTCTCTTCTTCTTCAACATCTGAACCATAATTTTTCCTCGTTTTCTTTTTCTCGTTATTCACCTTCTTTCTTGATGTGAGTGGCACATCATCATCTTCTTCAGATTCAATTTGTCTTATAGATGATTCAAGTTGTGCAGACAAGGGTATCTCTTCTTCATTTTCTGGATCATCTTTGAATTGAGATAAATTTTAATCACAACTGAAATGTTTGGATATTTTTCATAGATGACCTTATCATTTTCTTCTTTAATAACTAATTTTTGGACATCATCCTTAACAGAGTCCTCTATATTGTATATTATATTTATAATAATATCCCTTTCTTCCTCGGTTAGTGGATGAACATAAGATTTTCCTTCATCATTTTCAAATTGCTCACATTTAATCCATGTTGCTTCTTCCAATTCA